AAATTTGAAGACAACACAAATTAAAGAAGGAAGTATGGTATGAGGAAGACATGAAGAGTTTTCAGATGGATATGGATAGATTAAGTGGGTAAAAATCTAGCAGATCAAATATAACGTGAGTAGATGTGAAGTTGTTCATTTTAGCAGGAAGAATAAAAATTAAGAGTTATTTGAATGGAAAACAACTATGGAATTCTGAGGTGCAGAGTGATCTAGGTGTTCCAGTACATGAGTTACAAAACATTACTGTGTAGGTAAACAAGTAATCAAGAATGCTAATGGGATGCCAGCTTTTATAATGAGAGGAACTGAACATTGTGGGAAGGATGTTATGCTTCAGTCATATGAGGCCTTGGTGAGACCACATCTCCAATACCACGTGCAGTTTTGGTCTCCTTATTTAAAGAAGAATAAGGACAGAGGACAGAGTGTGGAGAAGCCTTACCAGGTTGATCCCTGGAATGAGTGGATTGTCTAATGAGGGTCGGTTGGACAAAGTGGGTTTGTTTCCACTGGACTTTAAAAGAGTGAGGAGTGACTTGATTGACAGGTCTTGACAATGTAGACATGGAAAAGATGTTTCCTCTTGTGGGTGAGTCCAGAGCTAGGGGTCACTGTTTTAAAATTAAGACCCAGATAAGGAGAATTTTTTTTTCTCTCAGAGGATTGTGTGACTTTGTAACTCTTTCCCTCAGACGGAAATGTTAGCTACATCCTGAATACTTTTAAGGCAATGGTGGATAAATTCTTGCTCAGTAAGGGAAGTGACAGTTATCGGGGGTAGATGGGAATATGGAATTTGAAACACAAATAAATCAGCCATGATCTTCTTGAATGGTACAGCAGGCTCAAGGGACTGAATGGCCTACTCCTGCTCCTATTTCATTAGTTTGCACATGTACTCTCCCAGTTGTTTTAATTATTCAGGGCAATTCACTACTGGATGACACTGGTTGCAAGATCTTTATTTTGATCACTGGTTATTAGATCACCAAATCGAGAACATGCCGCTTTTGTTGTTTAGCACACAGATAAGTCCTTTGTTGTAGGCTCACCTGGTTGGCATCTCATTTTGCAGCCAAGTCTGGAGCCTCTGTAGGCTGGTTGGTTCCATTCAACTTCTCTGTAGTGGTTTGATATAATCGAATGCTCGCTAGGTCATTTCAGGGAGTGATTAAGAATTAACCACATTATTATGAATCTAGAGTCACAAGTAGGCCAAATAAGGTAAGGATGACAGATTTCCTTTTCTGAAGGGTACAAGTGAACCAGCTGGCATTTTTAAACAATGTGGCAGTTTCACAATTATTCCTAATGAGATGAGCATTTAATTCCATATTTATTAATTAATTGAATTTAAATTGGCTCAGCTACCATGATGAGATTCAAACTTATGTCACTGGAGCATTAAATTGGGCCTCTAGATTACCCAGTCAGCCCAAGCAAAGTTAAAACTATGTTAGCACTCCGTAGAGAAGTCATTTTGCTTCATTTTAGCAGATAGCATATTTAATGATTTATTAAGACATTCAGTCCTCTTCCCACTATTCATTTTTAAATTAAAGAATGTTTTAACTTGTTTTAGTGGGGTGGCACAGTGGTTAGCACTGCTGCCTCATAGCAGCAGAGACCCAGGTTTGACCCCAGCTTAGGGCAACTGCCTGTGTGGAATTTGCACATTCTCCCCGTGTCTGTGTGGGCTTCCTTTGGTTTCCTCCCACAGTCCGAAGATGTGCAGGTTAGGTGGATTGGCCATGCTAAATTGCCCATAGTGTTCAGGGATGTGCTGGCTAGGTGGATTAGCCATGGGAAATGCAGGGTTGCAGGGGATTGGGGGGGGGGGGTGGTTGGAGTCTGGGTGGGATGCTCTTCAGAGGGTCAATGTGGGCTGAATGGCCTGCTTCCACACTGTAAGGATTCTATGTTTTTCAAACAGTTGCGAAACGATGCAGAAAAGCAACAGAATATCATTCGGATGATGAACTGCAAAGGAATTCACCGTTCTCTCTCCAAGTTACTCCTCGCTTGATAAAGAAAGAGGCATTGTCCTTACTTCATTTTTATCACTACTGTTCAACTCCTCTTTCATTCCATCACTTTCCTTTGTTTTCTGCCTTTGTTTTTGATGTTACACCCAGCCAACATACTATTTCACAACCAACAGGACAAACAGGTAAAATACTCTGGAGCAGTGCCCCACCTAGTGTATTTTCAGTGATTTATTCCTCTCTTGGAAATCATGTTATGGTATAGCATAGATTTGACAGATCAGTTCATTTTATTTTCTGTCTATATTTTTGTTATCTGTATGTATTTATGACTACAGTAACATATTACTTACTTTAGTGAGCTCTTTCAAAGAACCTAGTAGCATGTGCTGAAACAGAGATAATGGATACATGGATATATTGGAGATGTCAATGTTGTTCTCTTTAGCACAGGGAAGTCAAAATAAAACATAGGAAATGACAGCAGGAACAGGCCATTCAGCCTATCCGGTCTACTACACTATTCAACTGGATCATGGCTGATCCTCTACCTCAAAATCATTTACCAACATCACCCTCACATCCCTGAATTACTGTATTTTTTGGAATTTACCTGTCTCAAACATGTCCAATGACTGACCCTCTCTAGCACTCTGGGGCAGATAATTCCAGAGCTTCACTACCTTTTCAGTGTAGAAATTCTTCCTTATCTCAGTCCTGAATGGTTTACATCTTACTCTGAGACTGTGTCCCTTGGTTATTGGTTCCCTCCGCCAAGGGAAGTATCCTCCCTGCATCTAAACTGTTCAGCTCTGGAAGAATCTTGAATGCTTCAATAGGATGAAGATTTAACAAAATGTTCTAAATTTGGGTTTTGAAGTAAAGAAACAGAAAGTGTGTTCCATATTGAAGAATTGCTAATCCATGGGCAGAGACCTATTATGATTGCTACAAATCAAAGGTGACATGGGGAGAAACTTCTTTTGAGAGATTAGGATCTGAAAGTGTGCCCAATAATTTGGTGGAGGCAGCCTCGATGACAAAAGGGGAGTGTAAGTCACTGTGTTTTAGATTTTATTTACAGTAATGCCTTGGAACTGGCTTCAAATGGTAATAATGTGTTGAAAGGGAAACAGGTTCTCTGAGTCTTCTTCTTCATTTCTGAAGGAGGGTCTAGGCCCAAAACGTCAGCTTTCATGCTCCTCTGATGCTGCTTGGCCTGCTGTGTTCATCCAGCTCTACACCTTGTTATCTCAGATTCTCCAGCATCTGCAGTTCCTACTATCCCTGAAAAAGGTTCTCCGACTATTGAGGTCCTGCAAGATATGGATGTTCTCCATTTAACGGCGTCTCTCAGCATGACTGCACTCAGTTTCAAAAACATTTCTTCTAGCTATCACCTATGTGTGAGAAAAACAGTTAACAAGTTTGACAAACATATGTTTATAACAACCAGGAGTAGAAGTAGGCAATTCATCCCCTTGAGTCTGCTCCACTCTTTGATACAGTCAAGGCTGATCTCATCTTGGCCTCATCTCACTTTCCTGTCCACTCTCCATAACCCTTCAACCATCACTAATTAAAAATCTATCTCCTCCTTAAATGTATTCAATATCCCAGCATCTACTGCACTCTGGGGTAGTTAATTTCACAGATTCACGATCCTTTGAGAGAAGTAATTACTCTTCACCTCTGTTTTAAATCTGCTACCCATTAGCCTAAAACTATGATTCTAGATTGCCGACGAGAGGAAACATTCTCTCTATGTCTACTTTGTCAATCCCCTTTAGCATCTATATACCTTAACTAGATCTCTCATTCTTCTGAACTCCAGAGTGAATAGGCCTAAACTGCTCAACCTCTTTTCATAAGAAAAACCCTCATCTTCAGAACCAATCCAGTGAATATTCTCTGAACTGCACTCAATGCAAAAACATCTCTCCTCAAGCAAAGGGACCAAAACTGTATGCAACACTCCACGTTTGATACAACCCTCTTAATATATTCTCAAGATAAGGATAAGATGTGCTGACTTCAAGGCATCCAAAGGAAATGTTAGGTGTAACTTTAAAATGAGGTTATAATTGCATTGCTGGAATTCCCTTGTGACCAAGTGTGTAATAACATCTGAAACATTTCAGTCATTATTACCATCCATATCAACTGCTGAAACCCATGCATTGTATTGTCACACTATCTTGCACTGTTCACAACATCAGGATGTCCCAGAGCGTTTATACAACCAATAAAGTGCTTGTTTGAAGAGCAGTTACTGTTGTGAGGCAGGAAGTGTGGAAATCAAATTGTACAAAGCAACCTCCTGTTAACAGCAATATGATGAACAACAAAATAGTCTGTTTTAGTCATTTTTGACTGAGGCATGGATATTGGCCAGGACACTGGAAAAACCACCCCCTCACTGTTCTACAAATTGTCCTAAGGGATCTGCTGTGTCCATGTGAGAAAGTAGTCTGGGTCTTGGCTTAACATCACTTGAAAGACAACACTTCAGACAGTGTAGTACTCCCTTAGTACTGTGGTGGATTTTTGTGCTCACGTCTCTGCATGGAACCAGCTGAATCATGTTTGCATTTATATGGCACCTACAGTGCAGAAAAGCATTCAGAGACACTAAACTGACAAGCTAAAGAAAATGACACCTGAAGCCTAAGTTTTGAGGAGGATATTAAAGGAGAGGAAGATATTTATAAGCAAGAATTCCAGAGAGTTAGGAGGAACAGGCCAAAGGTGAGGCAAAGAGAGAAAGAGTTAGTGGAACTGCAAATCAGGTCCCAGTTAGGAGAGCACAGAATCCTGAGGGACGATAATAGAAAAGATTTGGCCATGATTAGATGGCTTACATATAAATTCGAGAATTGGGTACAGCTGCTAATATAGGTCAGTGTCATTGGCTGGGCATTTATTGCCCTTGTGATGGTTGGTGGTGAGGCATCTTTTTGAACCACTGAAGCAGTCTATTTGGTATAGCTACACTCACAGTGTTGTTAAAGAGTGAGCTCCAGGCATCACGATGAAACTGAAGATCAGGCGCTGACCTCAGCTAGAAGGCCAATTAGATACAACTTAGCTTCACGCCCGAGAGGAATTTCTATTCTTCGATTTTCTCCCAATCGACTCGGGAGGAGACCACGCCCTCTGCTGAAAAGAAGCGATTAATAAACCTGAAAGAAAGCGAAGGTTAGGTAAAGTTCACAACCCAAATACTCTGCTTTTATAGGTTCATTCTACTCTACCCTACTTGTACATTAAGCTGAGAAACTGAAAGGGTGTAGGCAAAATAAAAACCCGCCTCACGGTGTCCGTCAGCTAAAAGAACTAAATATCAATCACGAAAATCCAGGGTGGAAACGTCAAACACCTGAAAGTTTAATTTTTTTGTGTGTGTGTGTTGTAAATATATGGTAGTATCTTCACTACTTTCTGGCTTACTTTGCACCTCTTGTAGGTGCTAAATTCACCATCCGTCTTGCTTTCACCTGTCCCAGTGCCAGGACCTGATCGAGAGTAAACAAGGAAATGCGGAAAGTCGCAAACTTTTAGTCCGTGCAATTGACGCGTAACTGCAATCGCAGAGGGGGGAGAGTTCATGGCGCAGCGCGGAGGCTGCAATGGGGAACGTCCTCCGGCTCTGCGCAACCAGGTAAAGCTCACTCTTTCACAAACGTACTTCTACAATTCTCGAAGCCATATCTTGGACTGGACGCTCCAGCCACCGGCTGACTGTCCTGTGAAAGCTAACCTGCCTGTCTACTTTCTTTGTATTTCCTGGTGGATCTTGCGCCTGTGTTGGGAGTTTCGATCTACCTCTGCCTCCGCTCGAACTTGTTGCGTTTTTATTTTAAAGCCTTTTTGGACTCGATTCACTGATCCGCCCTGACTCGCCCTTTTAAGAATATCTAAGCTGTCTCTCACTAGTCAGAGAGAATTTTGGGCGGGTGGGGGAGTAAGGTATAACTTTGTTTAGAGCGATGGGATATTTTTCCCATTGGAAAGTATCCGTGATCTGGGACAATATATCTCTGCCAACTTGAGGGGAAAGTGAATTCGTCTGTAGTTTTACACACTCAGCTGTTGTTTAGAGCTAGTGTTAAAACAGAGGTTTTTGGGAGGAGTGAAGCTGTAGTTAACTAGCTTATTCGTGGCAATGAATGCCACCCTGCCTGGTTACTGCTTCTGGCTTGTCAGGATGACAACAATGTAAGGAATTTGGGATCGACATGGGAGAATGAGGGAGGGAGCATCTCCAATAGAGAGAGAGAGACACTGGATTCCTTCTCTTCCAAACGAAACGCGATCTTCATATGTTTTTGAAATGTTGGACAAACTTTCTCACTGGTTGGTGGAGATAAAGTTGCTATAGCAACCGTGTGGTACTCTGGGACTTTCATTTAGAGAGCGTGGACTGGTTTAATCTGAGGGGCACCACACTTTAGGGGAGGGGAGAGGTTGAGAAGGTGGGACTTCATAGTAACCTCAGCTGTTGTAGGAATTGAACCCACACAGTTGGCATTACTAATCAGCATTCCAGCCTGCTGAGCTAACTGGGGATTTCTGGCACTCTCTCAAAGAGCTCCTTAACCTGTCTCTTTTCCCTTTTTTTTTTCTTCTTCCCTTTTTGAAGGCTGTTATTGAAACTTACAAAATTTACTCACGTTTCTAGGTGCACTAAGAATATTTCTCCTGGTTGGGATGCCTGAACAGGGGACAAACTTTCTAAGTAAAGGGTGGGCCATTCGGCACAGACAAGGAGGAATCCCTTCAGAGGGTGGTGAACATTTGGAATTCTGTACCCCAGAGAACCATGCAAGCTCAGTCATTGAGTAATTTCAAGTCAGATGGATAGATTTTTAAATGGGCAGATGGAATATAATGTGGGGAAAATGTGATGTTATGAACTTTCGCAGGAAGACTGTAAAAAAACTGTGGGAGTTCTCCTGCATGAATCTCAAAGCTAGTATATAGCATACAGATCAATAGGTACTAGGGAAAGCAAATGGAATTTTCTTCTTTTATTCAAAGAGAATGAAGTATAAAAGTAGAGAGGTTTGTCTTAAACTAGACGAGGCACTAGTCAGACCACAGCTGGAACACTGAACGGTTTTGGGTCCTTTTTATCTAAGGAAAGATACACAGGCATTAGAGGCAGTCCAGAGAAGCTTCACCAGGTTGTTCCTGAGTATGAAGGGATTTCTTTGAGGAGAGGTTGCATAACTAAAAGCAGAAATTGCTGGAGAAACTCAACTGGTCTGGTGGCAGCAGTGGAGAGAAAGCAGAGTTAGCATTTCAAGTCCAGTGACCACCTTCAGAACTAGGTAGTTTGGAGCCTGTACACATTGGAGTTTAGAAGAATGCAAGGCTCTTAAGGACACTTTGAGGCAAACACAAAAGATATTTCTTTATCAAGAAACTGCGTCTTCAGTACAGGTTTCACATGTGGGAGTTTCCAGGTCCTACGCAGTTCCTTGAATAGCTTAGAACAAGCTGTCCAAAAAAAATCTTGACCCTCAGTTGGGGGGGGGTGGTGTGTGTGGGGGAAGTGTTCCTGCAAATATTGATTTCCGGTTGTGGGACAGTTTAGAACCATAGGGCATAATATCAGAGGAAGGGTTTAACCACTTAAGACAGATGAGGAGGAGTTTCTTTTCATGGTCATGAATCAGTGGAATTCTTTTCTGTAGACTGCTGTCAAGGCTGGGTTGTTAAGTAAATTCAAGGCTGAGAGAGATTCCTTTAAAGGGAATCTAGGGTTATGGGGAGAAGGCAGGAAAGTGGCGTTGAGGATTATCAGATCAGACATGATCTCAGAATGGTGAAGCAGATGCAGTGGGGTAAGTGTCCTACTTCTGCTCCTACACCTTATGGTCTCAATGCAGGAAAATGACATTGATGTTATAGATCAGGCAAGATTGACTCAAATAGCAGAGCATGTTTGAGAGCCAGAATCTTGCTCCTGTGTACTATTTCCTAAGCAACTGTATCCCCACCCTTTAAAGAAGTGCTTTCCAAATCCTAACCATTTGGTTTTTAAAAGTTCCCCATTATGTTTAATTATTCTACAAAGCTTCTTTAGTCCATTCCTCCTTTTGTTCCCCTGCTCCCAATTTTGAAAGGAAGCATGCAAGTGAGGCAGTGGTGTATTGTGATTTTTAAGTCGTCATCACGGAGTGGTTATAAAATATCTTTCTTTATTAAGAAACTGCATCTTCAATGTAGAGTTCACATTTGGGAGTTTCCAGGTCCTGTGCAGTTCTTTGAATAACTTAGAACAAACTGTCCAACAAAATCTTAATCCTTACTGGAAAATACTGTAAATACTGACCTTGAATATGTTTCTTGTATTATCAAGAAAAAGATAAACTAAACACAGAATCCATTCATGTTCGCAGTTTTAAAGCCGCTTTCTCATGTACATGATTTGAATACACATACACATTTGTATAAATAACAATGTCTGCCAGCACGTGAAAATAGTGACCTTATTTAATGTCATTATAATTCATGATATTAAAACTAGGCTTATCTTGAATAATATCCTTCTTTGCACAAAATATTTGCATGTATCAGCTTGTCACTGTGGTAACTTAAATTCGTCCAGAACTTGCATTCTTCAGCTTCACATAATAAGTGTGTACCATTGATCCTGTTATTGCATGTTAATAGCTCAATTGATGGAGTTAGTTTAGACCTTACTTCTCTGATCATTTGTAAATTGAATTCCACCAGACCATCATTTGTGATATCTGAATGAACAATGGTCTGCATAATACAACTTGTGCATGAACAGAACAGCTGTTATTGAAGTGCCTAGATCTGCAACTGCAGCTGCCTTGAGTGAGTGAGTGTTAGACTGCAATGATGGATTATATCCTATATCATTCCCATATTTACAACTAGGAGTTTCTGGCTGTTAATGCATTTAATGATTACACAGCTCCTTTTAACAACTCATTGAATCAGTGAATTTCCCAAGGTGGTAAAACAGATATTTGCTCTCATGGTTCCAAAATGTGAGATTCTGTTTGGCGGGGGGGGAAGCAGTAAATAAGAGATGAGGACTTAGTCAGTAGAAAACTGCCCTGCCTGACAATATGTCAACTCCCAACTGCCACTTTTGGAGAAAACACCGTAATGTGGAAAAGAGGGAAATAAAATGCTTCCATGCCATTTCCAAAGACACTTGCAGCACCATCAATGTACATTTAGTGAATTTTACAAACAAACCCAAGAATGGTATTTTCCCTGGAGCTTCAGAGGCTGAGGAGTGACCTTATAGAAGTTTCTAAAATCATGACTGGCATGGATAGGGTGAATAGTTGAGGTCTTTCTTCCAGGGTAAGTGAATCTAAAAATAGAGGGCATAGGTTTAAGGTGAGAGGGGAAAGGCTTAAACAGGACCAAAGGGGTAACATTTTCACACCGAGGGAGGTGCATGTATGAAATGAGCTGCCAGAGGAAGTGGTGGAGGCTGGTACAATTACCAACTTTAAAAGGCATGTGGATGGGTATATGAATAGGATGGGTTTAGAGGGATATGGGCCTAATGCTTGCAAATTAGACAAGACTGATTTAGAATATCTGGTTAATATGGACAAGTTGGACCAAATGGTCTATGCTGTACATCTGACTATTTGCTTTCAAATAACTTTTAGCATCTGGTGGTTGATCCTTCATTTAGAAGGAAGTACAAGTGTGCAGTTACATCACTTATCATTTTAATAACAACTTTTCTGAGATATTACACTTCACCCCCTGGATGTGAGCTGGTCCAATTATCCATCTTTCTGTGCTATTAGCAATAGCTCGGGCCAAATTTGGGAATCTGTCTCTGGTTGTAAGTTGTTATGCCATGTAACTGTCCAAAGTAAACTTTTCCTTTTGTTCATCCTTGGGATGTGGGCATCGCTGGGAAGGTCATTTGCCAATCCCTAATTGCCTTTGAAGTAGTTGGCTTACTGGACTATTTCAGGCAGCAGTTAAAAATGAAATTGTTCCTGTGGGTCTGTAGTCTAAGGATGGTAGGTTACCCTCCCTAAAGGACATTAGTGAACAGAATGGATTATCATGACAATCAATAATCAAGAAGGCAAATGAACGCTATTGTTTCATTACAAGAGGAATTTAACATAAAAGTAAGGATGCTGTTTCAGTGAGGCGTTGGTGAGACCAAACCCCCCTCACTCTATAAAATAGATAGTAGGAACTGCCGATGCTGGAGTCAGAGATAACAAGGTGTAGAGCTGGATGAACACAGGCCAGGCAGCAACAGAGGAGCAGGAAAGCTGATGTTTTGGGTCTGGACCCTTCTTCAGAAATATATGCTATTTTGGCATCTTTATTTAGGGAAGAATGTAAAAACATCGGAGATGATTCAGAAGAGGTTGACTAGATGGATTATCTAAAATGAGTGAGTTGCCTTGAGGGAAAGTTAGACAGGCTATACTTACTTCTGGAGTTTAGAAGAATGAGGGGGTGACTTCATTAGAGTGTATAAGATCCTGGTGGATGTGGAGAAGATGTTTCCTCTTGAGTCAGTTCCAAAACTAGGAAGAATCTATTTAATAATGAGAGCTTGCCCTTTTGGGACAGATGAGGAAACTTTCTTTGAGTTGTGACTTTGGAACTCTGCCTGAGGCAGAGGAA